TTTGATGCAAAGGTTGAAAGTTGACAAATAAATACTTTGCGAGTTCAATCAGGTTAGGTAAATGTGAATCTAACCCGGATGTGCCACGCCCACCGCAACAATTTTTCTATATCCATCATCGTCTGTACAATGTTGAATTATGTTAAAAAATTCAAGCATCTACCTAAATTACATAATGAGATATTCGTTGTTTTATCTTAGAGACTTGAGTTTATACGGCAAAAACCAATTTACGCACAGTTAGAAGACAGTACAAAATTTTCAAATTTTAGAAAGCGCAATTTTGATCAAAATATCATATGAGATATATCACCAAAAAGAAAAGATCATGCACTCTAAGAATATAAAATAAATTTTGTCGTGTGTTAATTAGGTCACGTGACAGAGCTAATCAAAGTTAAAAATCGCGATTTTCAAATGGCTATAGAACCAGGAGTTAACATTGCACAACAAATGTGGGGACATTTGTGGATAGATCTCACCAAGGGCAACAACTTCTGTTCTTGTCACAAAATCACCAAAGGTCACGAGATATGAGCCTTGAAAATTTTGGCCATTATTGAAAAAAATCAACCGGAAATAACTAAAAAGCAAAATCAAAATTCAAAAATCGGCTACCACACGATTGTTGTATATTCACTGATAATATATACATTAAAATAATACAAATCCGTTTAAACCCTGGTCCCAAAAAGTACTTTTATAGACAATTTAGTCACATCAACATGGCGGCTGATCTAATATGAATTTTATCATTTCCAATCTTTGATATAAACAATTCTAACATGTTTCAACAAGAATTTTTCAAATATCTATAAAATTCTGGAAGTTGCAATTTCAACTTTAAGAGCGAATGATGTCAATACCGGAAGTGATACAGAAATTTTGAGAACAGAATTTTGTTCAAAATGTTTATCAACTCGTAAATTTTCAGATCGATCGAAATAAAATTGTAGAAGTTGAAAAAAACGTTATTATTAAAAGAAAAAAAGTCAGCGACAAAAGTAAAAATCGGAAATTTTTTAAAGTGCTATCCTTTAACCATTACTAAAAAGTAAAGAAAAAAACAAAAATTTCGATCAAAAATAGATTCAGAATTGGAGCAGTAATTCGAAAGACGTTATGAGTGGCTATGTCCTTTCCGGTTGGGCAAAAATGCGTCATTTTACATTTAAACAACAACGACACGCACTTTATGACAGATAATGTTATCAGTTAATGTGTGGCATATGCAGGTTTGGTTGGGCGCTCTGACCAGAATCGGGGAAAAAAATAGTCATTTGCAAAACAAAGCAGTGCGTTCGATAATTAATTGTAAACCTTCAAGCCAGTAGCATAACTTCTTCAGTGTGAAGTAAAACTTTTCGTTGTTTAATTCTTTGGGTGTTTCAAACTACCACATGTTTTTTTAACTGACACCGGAAGGAAATCAATCGGGCTTTAAAAAAGTATGTCGAATTGTACCAATCTAATTAAAATAATATTACAATTTCGTTGTGTTATGTTTGTTTTTTCGGTCTCCATTGTAATCTAACGAGGTTTAAACCATTGTCGCGTTTATATCATGGTTGGTTGGTTGGTAGATGACAAGTAGCATGGTAACCCTACAAGTTATTTATAGCAGCAACCAATCAGAACCCCACGCAGTTCATATTCGATATTTAGACGACGATTCTGCATGACGCGCTGTGATTGGTTGAAATGAACGTCAACACTACGAACAGTATAGATTACAACGGAGAAAAATGAAAAACGAAATGAAATTGTCACCTAAATTTAATTAGATTGGAATAGTACAGACTATTGGAATTCTGAGAGTATACCTGTCCTCTTACAATTTTTCTTACACCCTATGGCATGTTCCGCTGATCTAACAGTACATTCATATCATTTGAGAAGTAGCGTTGAGACCGCTTAAGGTCTTGCCCCACTTAAATTTTTATACCAGAACCATGTGAGACAAATATCTGTTACGTTACTGGTGAATGTTTGTAGCCTGGAGGATGATAGAGACAAGATGTGGGAATAGAGAAGATCTTTGTCTACTCCAAACCAAATTAAGTGTGATAAAGTTTATAAATAAAACACTGATTTTGTTATATTTTTACATAATCGGTATCTCATTGGAGTTCTGCTGGTAATTCTCTTTAAATTAGCTTATTATGAATTAATTATGGACATGTGAGGCAAACTGGTATTTAGAACATTAGAACACCTCTACTATTGGCATTTCCATTTTCATAAATGAAAATAAAGGAGCCCATCTTTAATGACGTGTTTGAAGAAGATTCTTTTTGGCTATGGATAGACGTTCGTTAAATTAATATTTTGACGGAATTCGATGGTTTAACCAATCAAACTTCCACACTCTCGAAGTGTTTATCAGGTTAGACTAAAAGGTAAATTTGACGAACCTTCAAGTGGGCTGTCGTTAGACTCTAAATGAAGTGGTCATATTAAAAATAACAGCTATTAAAACGCGGCACAAAATTATAGTGTATTCTTCTGACAACTCAACATGTAAAATGAAATAAACAAAATGAATATTTGGCTTTAACATTAGTGTCATTGAGTTGTCAGTTTCGGAAAGCACACTCTGTTATTTTCTTTTTTTTAAATTTATTTATGGAAATGATTTCAGAATAAATCACGTGCAATGAATAATCACTCCGAAAAAGTGTTATCATCGCCATGATGAGGCGATTATATCGTATATGACAAAACGGTGTGACGCAATAGACATCAACTCATCCATTCAGAAAGCATGACTGGCATTTACCATACGGTTTGGTGTTTAGTGTTTTTCTCTATTATCTCTATTTTAGCATCTACTTAGTTAAAGCTTTTAGAGAATTTAAAACGATTTAACTGGTTGATCAGTAATATAGATGCCAATAGTCATAATACAGGCAAATAAAGACTACTGATTTCAGGGTTCTGTCTAACTAAAGTTCTCGAACTCAAAAGTCGAGAGAATTTTGACCAGAAATTTTATGTGATCGCTTTTTTTCCCCATGATATGCACAATTAGAACTTACTAGTGGTCATAGGAGGCCCGGGAAAGAAAAGTCAACAAGCAAAAATAAATAAAAATTCAATAACGTTGCATTGAGCAGCATTCCTAATTTTGACAGGAATAGGATGGTGACATTGTGCTAATTATTTCAAGAAATGTAACCGAGTGTGACTATGTTGGAGCCGTCCTTAAAAAAAAAAACACCTGACGAAAAATAATTATCAAATACTATGTATATGTAACAGGTGCTGTTCACGTTTTGTAGTTTTATTGCTAAACGTTACAATAGAGGATAGAAAAAAATTAAGGTAGATTTTTACACATTCAACAACTCATCATTCTTTCGCCAATCGAAAAGGAACCCTAAGACGAAACGCTGACATTATTCCACATTTTGGAATATATATGGTTCAAAATATGATATTAAATATTTTAATCATTTATTTTGTAGAAGCTCCACATGGGCTACCAGATTATAGAATTAAAATGTATCCCAGTGGTGAAGATAAAATTTTAATCAGCTTTGAACCAGATCCCAATGTGGAACACATCTTACTCTGGTGTGATCAGGGTCAGAGTCCTAGATGCAAACTTACTCCAGATAATGAATGCCAAAAAACAACGCTTCGGGAGGTTTGTTACTTTACTTCTTATGTTTAACAAAAGTCGCAAGGATACAAATACATTTGTTTATTATATGATGACGACTAATTTACCAAAAAGGGTGTCTCACTTAACGCCCCCCAAATACCGTCGTTTACGTACTGGTTTCCATTTGTATGTAGCGCTCACTTT